TCAGGTCTTTGTCCTCGTCTCTCTAGTCCCTCCTCTGTCCTCCTCCTGCACACCTGAGTGACATCAGCTCTCAGGTAAGAGGTGATTTAGTCTATGTTTACACGTGCCCGGCTATTTTCATGAACAGACATTTCACCCTCTCAGTTTACAGACAAAACTGCGTTCACAACACTACAGTTTTAGAAATGTTTTCATTTACACTAACCCGAGTAAATATGCCGTCAAGAACATGACAAACCTGTAGGTCAGAATCCTGCATGACAGCAACAACAACAAAGTCACTTCCTTCTTTTGGAAAAGATGCAAATGCAAACAAATGTAAAGGGATTGCACCGGCATCAGTGTGACTGCTATTCTGCACGTATCCATGATTATCAAAGATTATAAATGTCGCATTCAATCCAGTTTCTGGCGCACAATCTGCCGTCGGCCCTAACACAAATCTCTGTTTATCTCTATTTTTCTCTGTTTCCATGCAAACGTGCAAACTGAGTTTTCCAAATCTCCACTCTGGCTGGAGTTTTTCAAAGCATCATTTTCAGGGGGTGAATTTTCCGTTTGCGTCTAAAGGAAGGGTGCTGACGATGGTTAATGTCTCTGTTTTCAAAAAGAAACGGGTACGTATAAACGGGGCCTTAGAGATCAGGGAAGACAGAAGCAGAGTTTACCTTCTTCAACCCCATCCTTCTGGACATGACCGGTAGTCTAGTTCTCGTTCGTTTGGTTTTACAGGTTTTTGCTTCCTTGTTAGTTTAGTGGGAGCGATGGTTCTTTAAATGGTCGGCTCACAATCTTCCCATCTTTGATTGCCGGGGTCTCAAGTTCCCCCTTGGAGATAATACTTGGTAGGGTGACCATTTGTCCTCTTTTACCCGGACATGTCCTCTTTTAGGGGGCTGTCCAGCCTTGTCAAGGGCAAGTTTATCAAATCCTTCAAGTGTCCGGGGTTTTGTGTGGAAGTTTTGAGTTTGTGTAGCCTGGACTAACTGAGTTAGAAGCGCATAAAAAACACTCGACCCGACCTGAAAAACCCTCAGAATTAACTGTGTGTGACTCTGCGACTCCGCCCTGCGTAGTCGTGTCGTCTTTAATGAGGATTCAGAATATGGTCACCCTAATACTAGAGTGTTGTCGGTGGAACAGACGTGTGTGTCTGTGATACTCATGCACAGAAACAGCAGTATTACTCTGAATCTGGGTGCAGCGTGTGAGCACAGATGTTACAGCGCAGCGCCGACATGGACATGCCTAACTTGTCGCATCATTTCCACGTAGTAAAAAGGCGAATAAGGCGGGCAGACGTGGTCACATGGTTTAAGAAAACTTAATCATTGAGGTGTTTTGAAAGTGATATAAAAAAAAAAGTTAAATTTGATGATCTGATGGTTAAAATGTCGATAAAATCTGTTTTTGTTTAATATTCTCACCTGGTGGGCGGGGCCACAAAGAGGTGCAGTTCCACTTATCTCAGATGTGCCACTAGAGGTTTGGGTCTCCACATCTCCACTACCATAAATGTTGTGATATTTTTAAGGACTCTGACAGCCCCTTATTCCCCCCCATACAGCGCCCCTGTTCACACGAACACTTAGTGATGTTTTTAAAGAGTGTTTTCTGTTGTATAACTCGTGTTTCGACCTTCCCGCGTTGCCAATTTCACGTCAAACCAGGGAAAAAAAACACTGAGTTGATTTCTGTCTCTTGGAAAAAGTTTGAAGACAGCTTTTCATCAGAGTTGTCAAGGCTGTGCTGGAGTGTGTGTTTCTGCTCTGCAGACAAAGGTGTTTCAAAGCTAATTAAAAAGGTTGCATAATTAAACTCCGTTTAAAAAAGCCAGGCTCTCCAATATTTGACAAGTGACATCTACATGGCAGGAACCTTCAACATTTTGTAACGGAGAGGAAAAGAGAGAGCGTCTCCGAGGGCCTCGGGTCCCTACAGAAGCCTTGAGAGGGAAAAAAGAGTCAATAACAGACCGACAGTATTTCATCGATTATTTGTCAGATGCAAGGATGTGACAAACTTAAAAAATGTGTATTATTGTGCAGTAATATCTTAAAATATAGATGTATGTCTAATAGATGTGCAGACACAAAGACATATGTTGAAGAGAAGGGGGCCTGGTGTTAAAACAGCTGGGAGTAAAATCCTTAATTTGAGATCTGTATCCCGTCTTTAGACTCCCTCGATCGCCCCCCACTCCCTCTCTCTCTCTATCCCACTCTGCATTAAATCCACCATTAGATCCGCTTGGTACCACCAGAGCTTGTAGGCAATAAAGCACATTGTTAAAGTGACATGTAATTACCCAGCCTCTCTTTTGACTAATTAAGTCAGCGCTGCCTATTATGTGGAAATGTATAAGGAAGTCAGGTGATCAATAACAGTGAAGGAGGGAGACAAGCTAATTCCTCGCCGCTCCGCTCGCTGAATCCAACAATGTCCCGGCCGCCGTGTTTGTTATGGCTCCGGTTGGCCGCCGACGGGTCCGCTTTGACATCATCGTGCACGCCAATCCACGCCGGCATGTAGATGGAGAAGGATGAACCCCCGCTATAAAACAAGATCCTTTTAATTTCATGCAGCCATAAACCGCCAGTCATGTTGATGATGGGAGCAGGGTGAGTTCAATATACAGGGTTAGCTAATTTACAGTATTTCATGGCTTCATGGCAGACGCAGGAAGGGTTCGGAGCGGGACAATTGATGGTTTAGATAATAAGAGAGAAACATTAAACTGATGGATCGGAGTGTCAGAGATGAGGCAGGATGCAGTGACTCCACCCCAGAGGTGCTCACTGCAAATAAAAACAAACTAACCCCAACATCGTATGGAGGCTGGTTTATTATTTAAACATCCATCCTTTAAGCATGTTTTTATTTTGTATGTGTTTGAGTCTGAATGACTGATTTTTCTCTAAAGCTGTCAGCGGTGAGACCTCCAGTGATCGCTCTGATGCAGTTCACGATAGCTCCCTACATCGCTGTCACATTCCTCTTTGTAAAGATAGTTGGAGATAAAAACACAGATGAGTTACAACTCTCCAGTATTTAACTGTAAGGACTTTGGTTCAGGACCTTGGACAGAGCGCTCATGTGCAGTCGGGTCGTTCGGGATCATGTGGTATAGGAAATGCAGTTCCTCAGAAGTCCACTAGAGGCTGTTTCCAAAAGCAGAGGGATCACTATCAGTGTTGCCAGATTCAGCGGTTTGCCAGTCCCATTAGAATAATTTTCCAGGACCATTCACTTTTTCTCCCATTTTCCAGGTGTTTTCCAGTACTGGAAAACTGGTTAGCCGTTTTCCAGGTTTTCCAGGTTTTCCAGTATACATGGGGATCCTGTTCATCTGTGTTAGTGTCCTAGAGTCTGTGGCATCAGTGATCACTATTGGATCCCATGTTTCAATGCAAAACTTCACAGCAGAAATGAACTTTTTAGAGTTGGATTGTACGAAGAGCCCGAGGCGCCTCAGAATTTAGAGGATAACTGGTTTTGAGGTCAGGTGTGGTGCTGTGTTTATCACATCACACAACAAGAACAAAACTACTGAATCTGTCGTTGTCCAGATTTTTACTGACTTGTCCAGTAAACTCCCCGCTGGAAAGGGCTGCCAGGACAGTACGGCGGAACAACTGGAGTCTCTTTTGTGTTGCTTTATTGTCGCTAACTCACACACATACAACAGCTGCCTGCTACAGCTTTGTCATTCTGTTTAGCTGAGACGAGTAGTCGTCGGTTGTAAACCTGCAACTAACACAAAAAATACAGGCTTAACTAACAATATTATTGTTCAAATTCACAAATATACAGTACAGGCCAAAAGTTTGGACACACCATTCAATGTCTTTTCTTTATTTTTTTATATGACTATTTACATTGTAGATTATCACTGAAGGCATCAAAACTATGAATGAACACATGTAGAATTTTGTACTTATAAAAAAAGTGTGAAATAACCGAAAACATTCTTTATATTCTAGTTTCTTTAAAATAGCCACCCTTTGCTCTTGATGACAGAAGTACCTTGTCAGGCTGACTTCAGGCACTCCTGTGAAGTAAAAACCATTTCAGGTGACTACCTCATGAAGCTCAATGAGAGGACAGCTAAAGTTTGCAGCGCTATCAAAAAAGCAAAGGGTGGCTACTTTGAGAAATCTAAAATATAAAACATGTTTTCAGTTATTTCACACTTTTTTCTTAAGCACATGATTCCACATGTGTTCATTCATAGTTTTGAGAATCTACAATTTTAATAGTAATGAAAACAAAGAAAATGCATTGAATGAGAAGGTGTGTCCAAACTTTTGGCCTGTACTGTACATAGAACACAACTTAACAAAACACCACCCACCAACACGGCGTACCGGTCCTGACGATCCTCCACAAATGAGGATGAAAAAAAATGACTGTGCTTTGTCGTCAATCTGGTGTTATCCAGTTTCAGACTGTGCAGAGCAGATCTTTTTACTGAGGTCCTCTAGAGGAAAGACAAAAAGTTTCCAACATGGACTCGACCAAAAGCTTCTTCTAAAGAAAAGACAAAAAGTTCCTCTCCATATTTGAATCAAGTTCTGCTTCTCATCCTCATTTTACCATCAGCTTTGTTGTCGTCATTGTCACACTGTAAATCAGACATTATTAAATATTAGTTTCGGCTCTGATACGAGTTTGAGTTTTGCGTCACTCTGCAGAGTTTGAGTTCAGGACTTTGGAGAAGGGCAGGATGCCCTGTACCTTCAGCAGACGACTGAGACGCAGGAACACAGTCTGCCTGATCAGGATCTTCTCAGCTTCTTCTCTTCAGGCTCTCTCGCCTGGCGAACAGCAGCTGACTCCGAGCTGCCAAGTGATTTTTTTTGTAACCTCAGTCAGGAAGAAAATGGAGCTCCTGTCCGAGCTGGACTGAGAGGAGATAATTCACAGGAGGAGATAGAGGAGAGAACGGGCTGAAATGAAGTGAAGAAAAGAGAACAGAAAATTGATGGGAGGAAGGCGGCATGAACACGACGGGAGCTCCTGGTCCATCTCAAATGAAAATCCAATTTCCAAAAGAGCTGGTGGAGTTTACCGGGAAGGAGGGAAAGAGAGAGAGAGAAGAAGAGGAAGAAGGAGAAGAAGAAGAAGAGAAAAGGGGCGAAGAAAACAAGGACCAAAAACCGTCTTGTGAAGATGAGATGTGGGAAGAGCGTTTCGAATCCTGAGGGCCTGAGGAGAGACAATGATCTTCAATTACCAGCTGTTCTGTTCTCAATTTTAGACAAGAGCAAAGGAAATGAAGAAAAGGAGAAAAGGAGGGGTGGGAGGAGAAGAGGGAGGTTGTAGGGGGAGATATTAGAGAGGAGGAGAGTGAAAAAAACAAATGGAGAAAGAAGGGGGTCAAATCACAGCGGAGGAGTGAAGAAGGAAGGAGGGATGGAGGAGGAGGAGGAGGAGGAGGCGGAGATAAGAAGAGAGAGAGAATAATTTTATTCATCTTCTCCCATCGGAGCAGAAGCTGCTTCTTCCTGGACTCCGTCTCGTCCTGAGAGCGCCGCGCTGACGCTCCATTTGCAGATCGTATCATTTGTAAACACGCCTCCTTCTCGCCGCGTTACACCCGTCTGGCAGGAGGAGAGTTTTGTCATCAACCCCCCTCTCTCCCCGCTCGCTCCCTTGGCATCGTTTGCAATTCAAAACGCCTCCTTCTCCGGCAGATCTGTGTACACAAGACTGAGCAGAGACAGTAGCAGAGTGGAGTAGAGTGGAGTGGAGTCAGGGAAACAGACATGAGGCCTGATTTTACATCCTGCTGCACGGCGGCGGCGGCGGCGGCGAGCCCTGACACGGCCGTCAGGAGGGCAAACAGAAGACGGCTCGCTGGGTTTAACACCTTTACTCGCAGATAAACACGAGAGCTGTTTCCCTTTGGTTAGCATTCAACTCGACCTCTGAGAATCTGAATCAGGAGAGACGGCACAAAGTTCCTCACAGTTTTCAGGATCATTTAGATTTTTGATGCCTTTTGGTTTTCGTTTGATCCAGTTTGACACAAGTCCAGCACAAAGACACGCCCACTTCCATCTTTAAATGTAAAGATCCAACATCAGATGAAGTTACCAGAACCGCAGATGTTCTCGTCCCTCCCTGGTCGTCTTTTCTGCGCTTTGTCTCTAAAAGCCTTTGACAGCCGTTCAGATCGAATTCGTCTGCAGACCGTCTCTAAAGCGTGCTGAGGTACGATGTTTGAACTCAAACATCTTGTTAAAAGCCGTGCGTCCTCGTTGTACAAGAAGACGATCCACCAACAACAGACAGAGACGATGTGTTTGGAGGGAGGGGAAACTCACACGTCCAGTGGACACCGACTCTGCGGCGCACAGATGGCTCCGTATCTGTTCTGGCAGCGAGCGCCGGTACGGCAGCAGATGATTGGCCGTGGTGTCACAATCACATATGGCTGTAATGATGGGTCACTCACATACAACTGGCCCTGCAGGCGCCAAAGTTTTGTCTCTCCACATGTAGTCCTGTTGAGAGCGAGTGAATGTCTTCAGCTCACAGTCTGGCTCCGTTTGGGTCGGTACCGTCTGCGGCTCATTAACTGCACTATTTAACATCTGTCCTCTGAAGGAGCTTCATCAAGGTACCTATAGGCAGCTGTTTCCAAACACCCACTCAGGACTCATTCTGGAGAGTCAAGAGTCAAGTTTCCCTTTAGTCCCTTTTTTGTTTTTGAGTCTCTGTTTTCAGGGACTTCATAAAGTTTGTTGAGTGAACCCAGAACATATTTTTCAGACTTCAACAGGGAAAAACCTTCAAGTTAAAGTGTTTAATTCAATAATCCTCACATCTAAACTGCTGTCTTAAGGTACCCTAACACATTATTACTGTACGGACAAGTTTATCTGCTTTAAGGTCTTTAAATTCTGGACGCCTGTAGAGTCACTTCGAGGTGCCGTCAAGCTTTCCTGTTTCTCCCCTTTAAAACAAATAAGTATTTTTATGGTATTTTTAGCAGCAGAATGGGAATATCTTGATTTGTTTGGAGGTTCACTTCAGCAGCTGTCTCTAAGAACCCTGTTTTAGTGAGTTGTTATGATAGTTTAGCCTTTAGCATCAGTTCATTACTTGTTTTCAGTCTCGTCTGCGTTCACTTCCTGTTTGTTTTTAGGAACCTTCGACCCTCGAGCGTCTTCTTAGGAGTGGCGAGTGAAATAATCTACCCTCTTAATTGGCGCGAAACGAGACGCGTGAATGGATTGTATTTACTCACTTAATTTTTGCGTCAACGGTAACTTCAGCGGTAATCTCTGCAAAGTCAACTAGCAGGATCAAGTGACGAAGTTTTTTTTTACAAGTTACCAGATAATCCGACCTCCTCACTCACTTTCCTTTAGACGAGCTCCTTTTTTTCCCGGTTTCGGTCATTGAAAGAAAAGGTATCATATAATCCGGGTCACCCCCACACCGACACGATCAGTCTGTCCTCCATTTTAGATACAAGTGAACAACTGTCTTTTTTTACACGTCACCCGGCAACCTTCGTGCTGATTAGTTATCGTGAAGCGAATATCCGCTCATGTAGAGACATTTGTAGCTCCCGCCCAATTCGCGCCGCTAGTGTAGTAGGAGCGTCTTTACATGTAATTCATTAGTGCGAATGATTTTACTATCACATGGTGTGCGGAGACAGTTAGAGCGACATTCTGCTGTGGGGTCAGTGTTTGTCTCGAGGTACATGTCAGAAGATGTTTCACGGTACCCTCCAGCATCTGAAATGTCAAAGTTTAATCTTAGGTCTATTTAAAGGCTCGTCTCAGCTGGGTCTGAGTGTTTCCTGTAAGCGTCTAAACGTCCGCTGAGAAGGTGATGATACTCCAGTTCCTGTTCTGAAGTACTCTGGGGGGTCTGGTTTCAGGTTTTAGCTTCTTTCCGAACATGAAACAGTCTTGTTAGGTTTTGCTCAGTGTTTGCTTTCTTCCTCACAGGAGTCGATACCCAAACCTCTCTAAAGTCAATTTCTTGAACCACCCACGGCCTCCCACCGATGTCCAAAGAAAACTTTGTCAGCAGAGGCCCGGCTCTCCGTCGAGCTGGAGAAACTTTGCTGTACTTACTTCCATTTTTACAAACCCCCAAAGTTAGATCAAGTCTGAGTCTTTTGACCTGAAAACCATCAGATCTTTGCCCACTTGACTCCGTATCTTTTTCATCATTGAAGTAACTGTTACTGAAACACTCCAACTCGGAGCTAAAGTCTCCTTTTGATGATTACTTTGCAGCAGTAATGATGCAACACTTCTTCTTCTTCTTCTTCTTCTTTGTCTTGTACCACATCATCCCTCCCGAGATTGCTCAGCAGCTAATCGTCCAGACTGTAAGAAGATTGCGGCTTATTAGTTTCTTTCATCATCAACATTTTGTTCGTCTCTGAGCTCCTCTCCTTTGTGCTGTCATGTCTATAGTTTATTTTAGCACGGCTTTGCATCCTCCCTGTCGTCTTTATGTCGCTGATGTATTCACAGATCGAGGCTCGCTGTCTGCAGGCCGGACAGACGCAGCGTTTGCCACGTTAATTGCTGGCAGATAAAAAAAAAAAAAAACACACAGCCGTGCCCGTCCACCCAAACAAAAAGCCTTATTTTGCGGTGGGAGTGACTCCTGAGGTTCTGGCTGCCTCGTTACCTGAGCGAAGATGGCTCTGCCTCCGAACAACAACAACAACAAAAGGCAGGAGGAATAAAAAGCGGCTGTTTACCCCCCTGAAAGCTCACCGGGTCATTGTGGGCCTAATTAAACCGCAAAGTATTTTTAGATTCCTGAGATCCTGTCAGATTCGCAGCCTGTTTGTTTGTCTGCGGCGGAACAAATAAAAGCGTTTTAGGATTTATCGCCGACTGTCATGTTAGCGCTCCTCCTGTCCGCGGCGTGAAAGCGAGTCCTGCTGGGAAGCTTTACATCAAACGGCCCCTTTGGAAACACCTTTAATTACTCTCTGTCTCGCGCTCTCTGAAGTCCTCGCCACGTTTGGCTGTCTGCTCGTCTCGCTTTTCCGAAGGAGCCTTCTGGATCCGATTCAAGCTCCTCCGCGTCCCTCAGCACATCATCCCGCCGTCTCTCAAATTCAAATGAGCTCTAACTGGCGTGTGCTTCAAAATGCACAGAGGAAAGTTTATTTATACATCACCTTGTGCGGAGGCTCAGGCGAGCGCTGTAAAAGTCACTAAAATGAGGAGATAAAGGGAACCTGAACAAACACGCAGAAGTCTGTCGGTCTATCAGCTGATTTAGAAACCGATCTCACCCGTCCGACATCCGCAGGAGTCTTCGCCAGGAGTTAGATCAGCTGTTTCCTACGATAGAGGGAGGGACGGCGTCCACGCTTTAGGACGGGCTGTTGATGAGACAGTGACGACAGATGAAGTCATGTTTCTGAATCCACACCAAGGTTATAGTAGTTTTGGATTTTTCATCAGGGTGACCATACGTCCTCTTTTACCCGGACATGTCCTCTTTTTGGGGGGCCGTCCGACCTTTACTGGGGGAGTTTATAAAATCTTACAAATGTCCGCGGTTTTGTACGGAAGTTTTGAATTTGTGTCACATGGACTTAGTGAGTTAGAAGTGTGTAAAAAACACCCGACCTGAAAAATTCTCAAAATTTACTTGCGACTCCGTGACTCCGCCCACGCATAGTTGTGTCGTTTTTTTGGGGATTCAGAATATGGTCACCCTGATTTTATTATCGTAGTTTAGTTTTATTTCATTTGAACTTTTTATTTCTCTGATTCAGTTCGTTTGAATTTTGTCTCGAGTGAAAAGTAAAACTTTTTGAAGACGATCATCTCACACATTCTTGTCGACATTCCAGCCTCAATAAACATATTTACATCGAGTTCATCTTCCCTCCTGCTGTTTACTAACCAGCAGCTCTTTGGTCGTCGGTGAAAACAGTCCGTTATAGTTTTCTCCAGGCTGAGATGTTGCTTCTTTATCGGGGCGCTCCTCAGAGAGAACACTTTGTCGAGGTTCTCATGATTCATGTTCTCGTGATACGTGAGGTTTCATGAGTTTTCACTACGAGACACTTGTTTTTGTCTTTCTCGCTATCGTAGAGGACTCTGTCGCTTTCTCTCAAGTTTTGTCGCCATTTTGCCGGATGGAGTGGTGATGAGAAGCCGACTATAAACACAGTGATAAACTGGGAGGTACCGTACGTTGC